AACTGGCAACACAAAAGAACATATATATCAAGTATTATTCATAAGCAGTTTTTGTTGTATATTTTATTTCTATTTATTAAAATTAAAAAATATTTTTTTTAAATCGCTGACAAGGCAGCGAAATTTCCCTTCCAATTTTATTTTTTTAATTGTAACTCAAACATTCACATGTAACATCATCAATATTGTGTCAGAGGGAAATCTCTTCGTCAGGAGCGATTTTGCCCTTTTAGTTTTTCTTTTTTTTATATGCCCTTTTGGAGTTTTTGACAATTTTTTTTGCTCTTTTAGCTCCGGACTCTAGAAAAACTGTAATAGTTCTTGCCATGTCTGCTTCGATAAATGTTTTGGCAAATAGAGGTGGAACTGTCCATTACACAAAATCTTCCTCTGAGTAGTTCATCCTTAAGTCTTCCTTTGTTAGTAGATCAACCACCTGATTTTGCTTCCTAAGGTTGTGTCTTATGGACGGGTTCTTCAACTAAGTGTATAGTAAAGGACAGGGAAAGATGCTATAATGGTTAGCTCCTTAGGGGCTATATAGTGGCTATCTTCTAGATATCAGTCTAAATTTTGATGGGCTCGAATGAATTGGACTGAAATAGACTGAGATAATAAGTAAGTGGATCAATAATAATCAACTCAAAGTTAATTAAACAAAAAGGAATTTTATACGAATCTCATAATGTTAAGAGTAATAAGTAATATGTTACATTCTATTCCTACTCTTCCAAATTATAAAAAATCTTTAAATTTGGTGAAACCCAGATACATCCCAAGCGTCTCGATACATCGGGTAAAGTTATGTATTTGAGAATAGGAGAGAGTGGGGATTTTTGTTCAAATGGTAATTTTTTTTTAAAAACATGATAAAATAAGTTGTGTATTTAAGTAAAATTGAACAAATTATGAATATATGGGCTAACTTTATCACTTCTAATATATACGCTAGAAGTCAAGGCATGAAAAGATTGTGCTTTGACATTTTCTAGTCAAATACGTTTGCTAGCAGTTCCTTGAAATCAATATTGACATAAATTTCAAACTTGAATAATACATAATTACAAAAAAAAAAAAAAAAAAAAAAAAGTAGAAGAAAAATACTTGTATCACCCCAAGTCAACCCAGCCCAACTCTTCCAACATGTTATGCCAGATATGAGCAAAAACACAAGATTACGTACAATGGGAAAAAATGAACGAATATATCCTAGATTATTAATTTCTTTGTTTAATTTAGGGTTTCGTTAGATTGTTAATACAATAGGTAAGCCAAGAACTATATACATTCAATCAGTAGCCACACCCAATGCAATTTTAGTTTGCAGGTATTCTTTACAAGGAGGAAGAGGAGCAAATTCTTTGCGACCTGCAAAGTTCCTTTGAGAAACTTGACTTGTTATTTGAGTACGAGCATTGGTTCCTAGGTTCGGAGTTGGTGAAGGAACAGGACGCCATTGTAAAGATTGTAACAAAAGATATTTGCCGCCTCCCTTCAAAAAATCTACTTCTTTTTCATTGTTATCATTAAGAATTCGAGCAGCGTCATTTGTTGCGATGCTAATTAGGAATATAAGAATTAGCATAAGTATTATTTTGCTGCATGCAAAAGGAGCTGGAATAATGATATTGCTATTTTGAGATTTCATGTTTGTTATTGATGGAATGAGAATACTATATGAAGGATATATTTTGTTTAAGAGAGATTATGTCAATTAATATGGTTATGAAGAGAACATATGAGTGCTATTTAAACTCATGCCATAACGTGTTAGTGAGACCCTCGTACGTTTTCTTTTAAGTTTATGCAAGAATTTTGACTGTTGACTATTTTGAATTGAATGAGTCACATACAAGACGAGGTATTACAACAAAATGATATTACTCTATAGGGTTGAATTGAAATTGAAGAAGTTAAAATGACCTGAGTCATTCAAACAAATGTCGATATTATAGGGTATTTTTTAATTTTTGTCCTTAAATATGATGGTGTTTGAATTTTCTTCCTTCAGCACTTGAAATGAAAAATAAATGGCCGAAAATTTTCCTGACACCGAAACAACAAATAATTCTTTTGTTCAACATAAGTTTATATTTTCGTATCATATAATATATATATATATATACACACGTTATGTCATATATGTCTAAGGCATAACAAGTTATGTTGTACTGCATAACTTAATTTTTACAGAACTTATATCGAGCTAGACAAAATTTTAGTTTCAGATTCCACAAGTATTAATATGTCGTAAAATGCATAACAAAATATCTCATGCTGCATAACTTAATTAATTCGTACATAATTTATGTTGAGTGAGTAAAAATTTTGTTTTAGAATATCCACAAGTAATACGTAAACGACATAACAAGCAAATTATATTGTATTCCATAACTTAAATTATTTCTATGGAACTTGTGTCGAGCAAGCTAGACCAAAGTTAAGTTTCATAACTCATAAGTTGTTATAGAGTGAAAAACATAATTGATTCATCTAAAACCTACGAGAGCAAGGAAAAAAATTCTCTAAATTTATGTTGAGTGAATTAGGTCATACAAATACTACAGCTTATGCCACATAAGTTAATTTCTATAGAATTCATGTCGAACGACGCAAAATTAATCTTCACTAAATCCATGTAAAGCAAATTAAGTCACACATAATTAGGATACTTTGATCTATAAATTTTCAGTAAATGAATAATAGGAGCAAAACTTAAATATATACCATCATATTTTAGAGCAAAAAATAAAAATCACCACTAAATAGGGCCAATCCGTGCAAATACTTGTTACTAAATTGACATGTCAATTTAAGTTATAATGGCTTAAAAATTGAGTTGGTTCATGAGCTGTCCAATTTAACCTAACTTATTTTGGTTTGAAGTCCAACTAGATATAAACCTCAATCTTGATGGGCTGAGATGACTTGGACTGAAATGAGTTGAGTTGATAAATGAATTAAATACATTCTAGTTTGTAATACTATGAATTTTATAAGATTTTGATGCGTTCAGATACATGTATCTCGGGATACATGGGGTCAAAATTAGGAGTAATTTGTTTTAGATTCCTACTAGTTTAGGTTTTAATTACTTAGATACAATCTAGTTTGCAATATTATATATGAATCTTACCAGATTTTTATGCGTATCTCACGATACATGGGGTCAAAATTAGGTGTAATATGTTTTAGATACATTGTATCCAAGTGGATTCGCAAGTAATCAATATTATAAAATATTGTAATAATGTAATATTTTATTTTAAATAAATATAGTTAACCATAAATTTTTCATACATCTTATTAATATTTTACGTAGTTTATAAATATATAAATTTCATTTCAAAAAAATTGAAGATTCCATGCATTAATTATCGATCAAGCATAAATTGTTTGACTCTCGAAAAACGAAAAGTGCCACATAGATTGGGACAGTGGGAGTAGTATCTAGTAAAATTATTACTACACTTTATTATGGCTATATATAACATATCCAATAAAAAAAAAATCTTTTAACAAGATTTCTCATGGATCAATTTAGGCTAGATATCAACCTAAATTTTGATGTATGCGCTTAAATGAATTGGACTAAAATGAGAGTGTGTCAATAATCAACCTAAACTTGAACGGATTGAACGAATTATAATTTTATGGGCCAACTTGTCACCTCTAATATATACACCGGAAGTCAAGGTACGTATAAAAAGATTGTGCTTTGACATATTCGTGTCAAATAAGTTGCTAGCATTTCCTTGAAATTAATTTTGATATAAACTTCAATCTTGAATAATACATAATTACAAAAAAAGAAGAGTAGAATAAAAAATTCAAAATACTTGTATCACCCCAAGTCGGCCCATATGAGCAAAAACACGAGATTACAATGGGTACAAATACAACTTTTTGTCAAACAAATTAATGTTTCTCTGAAAGAATGAACCAATATGTCCTAGATTATTTCTATCAATACATTTAAAAGTTTATTAATATCTTTGTTTAATTTAAGTTATCGTTAGATTGTTAATAATGAGATAGTTTAAAAGAAGGAGAGTATTGAGAGTTAGTTAGGAATACTTCAAGAAGTTAGTTAGAAGGTAGTTACCAAATTGTTAGATAAGTAAGTTAGTCAAGTAGAATATAAATACATAGAATTTAGTCATTGTATCACTTCTTCAAGAATGAAATCAAAAATACACTTTCATCTTCTCCAACTCTATTGTTTTTATGATTCATAGTGAATATCTTCATGGTATCAAAGCCTGGTTATAAACATCGAAGGAAATCATCTCTGTGTTACATCTGAAGATCAAAATCTGAAGAAGTGTTCGTCTGTGTATTCTGTTTGAAAGTGTGAAGATCAGAATCTGAGTTAAGTTTCCACAACTCAATTTGAAGAAGAAGGAAGATTGTTAACATGACTCAAGGGGTAACTGGGATCAAACTACGACTGGACACAGCAGTGTTGAGGGAAATTCTGGAAATCCAAGTTCCATTCCAGTTATGTCAATGAGTCAAGGGGTTGATTATAGTCATCCTCTGTTCTTGAGTCCTGCTGATATCAGTGGGGTTAATCTGATTTCATTCCAGCTTACTGGAATTGAGAACTATGCTTTGTGGAGTAGGTCGATTAAATTGGCACTACTTGGAAGAAACAAGATTGGTTTGGTAGATGGATCTTGTAAGCAAGAAGATGTAAGTGCAGAATTAAGAGGTCAGTGGGAAAGGGTGAATGCCATTGTTCTCTCATGGCTTCTAAATTCTGTGTCAAAGAGTTTGCTAGGAGGAGTAGCTTTTGCATCATCAGCTCAAGCTGTGTGGAATGACTTAAAAGAAAGGTTTGATCAATTAGATGGATCAAGAACCTTCAGTCTACACAAAGATATTGCAATGTTGCAACAGGGTACAGATTCTGTGTCTGTATACTTTACAAAGCTAAAAACATTATGGGATGAATTGGAGACTTTGGCACCACCTCCTGGATGTAATTGTGAAAAGTCAAGAGGTTTTGTGGATCATCTAAATCGCCAGAAATTGTATCAGTTCCTGATGGGATTGAATGAGTCATTTGGACAAGCAAGAAGTCAGATCTTGCTGATGAATCCTATTCCTACAGTAAATCAAGCCTATGCTATGGTAGTAAACGATGAATGTCAAAAGATGGCCTCAAGTAGGTCGAGTATAGGCCTAAGTTCTATGGGTAGTACTGGAATGGACCCTCTGGCAATGTACTCAAGAACTGGTGGAGGCTCTAGTTCCCAAGGTGTTAACAAGTTCAAGAGGAACTTTCAAGTGGTGTGTGATTTTTGCAGATGCAAGGGACACACTAAGGATCAGTGTTATAAGCTAATTGGGTATCCATCTGATTTCAAGTCAAAAAGGAAAGTGAATACTAGTACAGGAACTGGAGCTTACATGGTTGGAAATGATGTTAACAACTCAAGGAAGGATGATTATGAGGATGTGTCTGGTAGAGTTTCTTTCAATTATGGAGGTAACACTAATGTACCTGTGAAAAATCATATGAGTAATATAGAGGAATGTTCAAACCAATTACAAGGGTGTAATTTCACCAAAGATCAGTATAGTCAAATTCTCCAAATGCTGAAACAGAGTCAAGGAGGTGGACAAAATTCAGAAGATTCAAGCCATGCACATGAAACTCAGGCTAATACTGCAGGTAAAGTCTTGTTAGTTTCTGAAAATAGTCAGGTCTGGATTGTAGATACTGGGGCATCTAATCATATGGTGTCAAATTTGGATATGCTTACTAGTGATTCTGTTATTAAGGTTAAAGAGCCAAAACCTGTATATTTACCTACTGGGGAAGTGTCATATGTGTCTCATACAGGATTATGTAAAATATCTCCAAGAAGTGTGATTACAAATGTTTATCACATACCAGAGTTCAAGTACAACTTGCTATCAGTGAGTAAGGTGACTAAGGAGTTAAATTGCTCAGTCACTTTCTTTCCTCATTTTTGTGTGTTTCAGGAGCTTTACACTGGCAAGGTGAGGGAAGTTGGTAAAGAGGAGGATGGTTTGTACCTACTGCTAAGGAATTTGTCAAAAGAGCAATTGAAGCACCAGTCATTTGTTGTACCTGAAAAGAAGCTAGAGATACAACAGTTATCAGAAAAGGAATTGAATGTATGGCACAAGAGGCTAGGACATGGATCTGCACAAATGTTGAGTAAAGTTTTTCCTGTTAATTCAGACGTAGTAAAAAAAGTGCTAAATGAGTGTACTGTTTGTCCTTGTGCAAAACAAACCAGAAATATGTTTCCTGTTAGTAGTATTAAAAGTAGTCAAATTTTTGATTTGATTCATTTGGATGTATGGGGTCCATACAAACAGGCAACTTTTGATGGTAACAGATTTTTTCTTACAGTAGTTGATGATTTCTCAAGAATGAGTTGGTTATTTCTGTTAAAAAGTAAAGCAGATGTGTGTGTAGCTTTAGATTATTTTTTGAAGTTTGTCAAGACACAATTTGACAAAGTGGTAAGGAAGGTAAGGTCTGATAATGGAACTGAATTTATGAATGTTGTATGTGCTACTTTGTTTAAGGAAAGAGGTATAATACATCAGAGATCATGTCCTTATACTCCACAGCAAAATGGAGTAGCTGAAAGGAAGCATAGACATCTATTAGAGGTGACTAGAGCTCTAAGGTTTCAGGGCCATATTCCTATAAGGTTTTGGGGTCAGTGTGTTCTTGCAGCTGCTTACTTGATAAACAGAATACCTAGCAGAGTTCTGGGAGGTAAATCTCCATATGAAAGGATGTATGGTGTTAAGCCAATGATATCCCATCTTAGAATATTAGGTTGTTTATGCTATGCTAAAGTGTTAACTGAAACTGATAAACTAGCATCCAGGACCAAAGCTGCAGTACATATGGGGTACTCAGAAACTCAGAAGGGTTATATCTTGTTAGATTTGACTTCCAACAGTTTCTTTGTGAGTAGAGATGTGATATTCAGAGAATCGGTCTTTCCATTCTTAACTGTTTTAGATAAAAATGATAAAGGTCCTTTTGTAAATCATTTGAATAATGATATGCTGAATGTAGAATGGAGGTTAGGCTATGATAACATGATTGACAAGAACAAAGTTAATCATAGGTGTGTACAAGAAACTCAGCGTGATAAAGAATTAAACAGAGACTTGACTGATAATATTGAACAGAATACTGTGGAGGAAATAGTTCAAGGACAGGATTGTGTATCTAATGATCCTCCGACAGTGGTGAATAGAAGGTCTACCAGAGGAGTTCATCCACCAGTTTGGATGAAAGATTTTGTGTCCTTAAATATGGGCAAACAAGTGAAGTATCCTATAGAGGAGTGTGTTTCATACAGTCACTTATCTAAGTCTTACCAAGAGTTTGTTGCTGCAACTTCTATGCTAACTGAACCTACTTCCTTTGCTGATGCTAGTAGAGATCCTAAGTGGATTGAAGCAATGCAAGCTGAAATACAAGCATTACAAGATAACAACACTTGGAAACTAGTTGAGTTGCCTAAAGGGAAGGTTGCTATTGGATGTAGGTGGATCTATAAGATTAAGTACAAGTCAACTGGAGAAGTAGAAAGGTATAAAGCAAGGCTGGTAGCCAAGGGATATAATCAGAAAGAGGGCATAGATTATAAAGAAACTTTTTCTCCTGTAGTAAAAATGGTCACAGTAAGAACCATTCTAGCCTTAGCTGTGTCCAAGAGTTGGCATATACATCAAATGGATGTATATAATGCATTTCTAAATGGTGATTTAGAAGATGAGATATATATGTCTCTGCCACAAGGGTTTTCCAATCAGGGGGAGAATATGAATAAGGTATGCAGATTGGAAAAATCATTGTATGGGCTTAAACAAGCACCAAGACAATGGAATCATAAGTTTGCAGAAAGCCTCCAGAAGCTGCATTTCAAACCGTTTGCAGAAAGCCTACAGAAGCTGCATTTCAAACAAAGTCAGTATGATTACTCCTTGTTTACAAGGAGGACAACTGAAGGGACTACAATTATCTTGGTTTATGTTGATGATATTTTAATAACAGGAAGTAGTTTAAAGCTGGTGGAGGAAACAAAAAAGTCCTTACAACAAAGTTTTAAAATGAAAGATCTAGGAGAGTTGAAATACTTTCTTGGGATAGAGTTTGTAAGGTCAAACAGTGGAGTTGTCATGCATCAAAGGAAGTATGCACTTCAACTTATTTCTGAAGTTGGTTTATCAGGAGCAAAGACTACAGGAACACCTATGGATGTAAATGTAAAGTTGACATCAAAGCAATATGATGATCAAACTGGACAGAATCAGAATGAGCCTCTAGCAGATCAAAGTGCCTATCAAAAACTGATTGGGAAGCTGCTATATTTAAATATGACCAGACCAGACATTTCGTTTAGTGTTCAAACTTTAAGTCAGTTCCTACATCAACCAAAGAAGTCACATATGGATGCAGCACTTAGAGTTGTCAAATACATTAAAAGACAGCCAGGTCAAGGTATACTTCTATCTAGCAAGTGTAGTAATGAAATTACAGCTTATTGTGATGCAGATTGGGCAACATGTCCTCTTACAAGGAAATCTGTGACTGGATATGTGATTAAACTTGGAGAGTCTGTGGTGTCTTGGAAAGCTAAGAAGCAAACCTTGTGTCAAGAAGCTCAGCTGAAGCTGAGTATAGGAGTTTAGCTTCTACTGTGGCAGAGTTAGTTTGGTTGGTTGGAATGCTGAAAGAATTAAAGGTTGAGGTTCAGTTACCAGTTCAAGTGTATAGTGACAGCAAGTCTGCTATTCTATTGGCCTCTAATCCAGTCTATCATGAACGTACTAAGCACATTGAGATTGATTGTCATTTCACCAGGGAAAAACTTCAACAAAGACTGATCAAGATTACTTATGTGTCAACACAAAATCAGCCAGCTGATATGCTAACCAAAGGTCTCAACATGACTATCTACTATCCAAGCTAGGGGTCTTAGACATATTTGTACCATCTAGCTTGAGGGAGAGTATTGAGAGATTTAGAAAAAAGAAAGAGAGTATTGAAAGTTAGTTAGAAGTACTTTCAAGAAGTTAGTTAAATTATAATAGATAAGTCAGGACTTATATATTCAATTCGTAGCCACGCCAAATGCAATTTTAGTATGTGGGTATTCATTACAAGGAGGAGGATGAGCAAAGTACTCTTTGCGACCTGCAAAGTTCCTTTGAGTCACTTGGCTTGTTATTTGATTAGGAACATTGGTGCCTGGATTCGGAGTTGGTGAGTGAACAGGACGCCATTGTAGAGATTGTAACAAAATATATTTTCCTCCCTTCAAAATATCCACTTCTCCTTTTTCATTGTTATATTTAAGAATTCGAGCAGCCTCATATGATGTGATGCTGATTAGAACTATAAGAAGTATCATTAGTAATATATTGCTGCATGCCAAAGGAGATTTCATGTTTTGTTTTGATGGAATGAGATTATGAGAATACTATATTATGAAGGATATATGTTTTGTTTAAGAGAGATTTTGGTTAATTAATATGGTTATGAAGAGAACATATGAGAGCTATTTAAACTCATGCAATAACGTGTTATTAGTAAGACAAGACCCTTAATTATACTAATTTCTCTTTTTGAGTTTATGCAAGATTTTGACTGTTGATTATTCGGGTTCATGACTAAGAAATAAAACTCATTGAATTGAATGAGTCACAAATAAGAAAGAGGAGAAAATGATAATTCTTAACTTTAATCTCTAACAAGAGAATTAATAAGGGTGTCAAATGGGTGGAATAGAAATTGAAGAAGTTAGAATAAAATGATCATTCACACATATACATCTATTTTGGAATAGTTTTTAATTTTGGCTTTCAAATTTGACGGTCTATGATTTTTTTTCCTTCAACATTTTAAGTAAACAAGTGTCTGAAAATGTCTCTGACATCAAAATAACAAATAACTTTCTACTCGACATAAGTTTATATTTTTATATCATAATATACCACAAATGTCGTATGTAAAAGATGTAAAAAGTTATATATGTCGTAAAACGCATAACAAGATATCTCGTATTGCATAACTGAATGGCTACAGAACTTATGCCGAGCGTGGCAAAAGTTCAGTTTTATAATCAACAAGTTAAATCATAAAAGTCATACCAAGTTATTTCATATACAACATAACTTAATTCCTACAAACTTGTGCTGGACGAGGAATCGTTATGCAGTAGAAGGCATGCATAACTTAATTCATACAGAATTTATGTGAGAAAAAATATATTCTCTAATCTTATGATAAATGAATTAGGGTAGAAAGCGGTTTAAATTGTGAATAGGAATTGAGATAAGTTGGAGATTATTTTAAATGGGTTATCGTTATATTTTTTTTTTTAATGGGTTATCGTTATATGTATCAAACATTAGCCTTATTAAATTATCTTTTATCCGACCCATAAAATTTTGGACGAGTCATATTGATATTTGGGCTACATTTGAAAACCCATAATAGAATATAATCTTTCCATCAACTTTGTGTTCAATTGTCCGAGTCCTTTTTCAAACCTCTAAAAAAATGTACGTTATGCAACTATTAATTTTTGCATCAAGAAAATAATCAAGACTATAATTTAATTAATGTAATAAATGTAGTATTTTATTTTAAATACAGTAAACATTGAATCTCTACAATAACTTTGATCCTACTTTCTAACCACTGATTCAAGGAATTGATAACTTCATCCTGATGATTTGGTTGACATGTATTGGTAATTTTCCTAAAGAAGTTTATGTTTCACAATAAAAGACTCAATTATAAAGAGTGTGTTAGAGTAAGATCTTATCATAGAGTTTTTTTTCAACTTGTGAGAGTTAACTAGCAACAAGAAGTTAAACAACCTGTTTAGGTGATGTTTCATATTAATGGTAAGGATTCCAACAACTAGATAGAGTAGTTTTTTTTTTATATATTTTGGGTTAAAATAAAGATATTACTTATTTATATATAATATGCATCCATACAATTCAGATTTCAGGGGAGTCATAGGCATAGTACTAGCTACTAGCACTAAGTCTATTTAAAATATAGATATTACTATTACAATTTATAACAAATGGGGGATCATAGGCGTAGCAAAACGAGTAATAGTTCTTTTCATGTCTACTTTGATAGACGTCTTGGCAAACAAGGGTGGAACTGTCCATTGCACAAAAACTTCCTCCTAGTTCATCCTTAAGCCTTCTTTGTTAGTAGATCAGCCACCTAATTTTGCTTTCTAAGGTTGTGCCTGATGGATCGGACGGGTTCTTCATCTAGTGTATTGTAAAGGAGGGGGGAAGATGCTATAATGGTTATCTTCTAGGTTGGTTGCAACCAAAACTTGTGTAAATTTAAATTTTAGTGATAATTTGAGAGGG